CGTCAGAGATAAGACGGTGAGACTCCGCAGTTTTGGCTTGCGATCCCCTACTTGATGTATGTTTCCGAGCGACAGATATAATCCTAAACCCTGTCTATAGAAGCAAAGAGACGAGTCCCAGGAAGTAGTCTTGAAGATGGTGACACGATCGCCGAGACAAGAGCTTTATTAGCCTGACGTTTCGGATTCCTACTCGAATCCATCATCAGAGACAAAAAGCAGAAACGAGTGGTTGTTGCACAAGGGGCTGCGGTATTTATAGGATGCAGTGACCATGCTATCGCATACCTATGAACATTCACTGCTCCCCCCTTCATCCGGGATCGTCGCACTTTGTGTGATCATTGCTTGATGGCCGACATTCGAGTCAATAATTGCTGCCATTTCATCACGTGCGTTGATTGTTGGCGTGATGATTGCTCGACTATCTGACGCACCGACCCCGGTGTTGGGAAAATTGTTCAACGCATGGCTTGTTATTTCGCCTAGACGATGATGTAGCACGGAATATGCAGTTGGAAGATCGTTGCACTTGCTGATGGACCTGGGGCCAGTAAACCATGATTCCAGTAGCTCCAGGCTCACGCGGTTGTCACCTCTAAGGAGAATTTCGGCCTCATCGAATTTGAATGTGTGGCCGGATCTCGTCGAATGGACCGCAACTTGGGAGCTGGCGTCATTTCTGCGCACCGCTGCCGCGTGATCGGCCATTCTCGTTTGAAGCTGTATTCCGGTTTTTCCGAGGTAGTTGCTTTGTCCACAATTGCACCAGATCCGAGAAACGACTCCAGACGTTTCTAGCCGGGCAGTGGGTTTTTCGGTTTCATGCCCAGACGCCTGATGGTTGGCTCCGGTCTGTGTGCCACTCCAACCCCAAGTGGTGCGAGAAGGCGGCCGACAGCTTCCGAAACTTTTTTGACATACGGAAGTGCCCGTCAAGATTTGGTGTCCGTGCGGCTAGGCCTTTCGTCCCTTTTGCGTATGCACCGGTCGACGAAGTTGCGCGGGTAGCCATTGGCTTTGAAGACCCGTCGGAGGTATTGCAGTTCGGCAATCTTGTTTTCCGGCTCACTGCAGTACGTTTCGACACGCCGATAGAGCGTCCTTACACGACTGCCTTTGTGGCTGATTGGATGGTTACAGTTGAAGTTCAGTATTTGCATCGTATTTGTCGCTTTCCTATACACTTTTGTTTTTAGTTCACCACAATCTTTGCGGCATACAAGGACATCCAGTAAGGCCAGGTGGTTGTTCTCTTCCTCCTCCATCGTAAATTGAATGTCCGGCAAGACGGCGTTGATATGTTCTTGAAATGTCAACACCTGATCCCGTTCGATGACGACGTAGGTGTCATCCACATACCGGACCCAGAATTTCGGTCTGTGGTGTTTGAAACCAGTGACTCTTACCGTTGCAGGACCGCCTCGGGTTGAATCCCGAAATCGGCGAACCCATTGGTGTGCCCATCACATGTTCGTAGATTGTCCCGTCGAACGTGAAGTACGTCCTGCACTACTACCGATTCTTGATTGCTCAGCCACAACGATTCGTTACCAGATCAATTCATTCGTCATCCGGGGACTTCAGGAACTTGTAAAGACTCTTTATCTTTTACTTCATGGCAAATGGGCCACTTCTGTCAAAGACTTTTGCATGGACTAAGTGCAGCTCAAGAATCCAAATCTGCGATTTGCTTATATTTGCCGATTAAACCTTGACCAACGAAATACAGCGCACGTACCCTCCTCCGTCCCGCCAATGGACGACCACCGCAAAGGGCAACATGGATTCAACATCGGCAACACAACCGACGATCGGATTCTCAATATCCGGCGAATGTCAACAATCCCCCTATCTTCTCAAACGTCCTCGCACTCACTACCACAGCAGAAACATCAATGTAGAGAAAAATGGGTCTATTCACCTACGACTGTGCAAATCTGGGCTGATCATCAATGCAGAGAAAACACTGGTCATACACTAAGCGTCGCACATCAATGACGGCAACGACCGAATCATCGCTGTAAACAACAATTAAATCAAAATAGTTGACAAGTTGGCCCTCTTAAGCAATACAGTATCACGGAAGACAGACATCGACAGTGATATTTCTCACTGAGTCACCGAAGCCACTCAGGCCTTGGGCAGGTTTCTGTCTGGAATCGCCACGATGTCAAATAACTCCTCGAACTGGTAGCTGAAAAGGGAACTCTGTTCGTCGGAGTCCCACTCTAAGCGAACACAGCTAGTGAACACCTATGAAGACGCCCTGATCAGAGCGTTTTACGAACCTCATGAGCGGTAAGAGTTCGAGTACTATTCCCGACCAACCCTGTTTCGTGCAGAGAAGTTGAGGATGAGTCATAAAATCTGACCATGCCGATGTGCTATTGGTTGCACAAGTAGACTGCTAACCAATGAAAATACGGGAACACCTCCCGGCTTGGTTGGGAGACGGCTGAAGTAAGAACATATACGGTGCCATCCTAGTACACGTTGTCGATTCAGGGCATCGTGCGGATCCAAACGAAGCGTTCGGTGTGATTTACATGATCTCACCGAATCACCCTAAGTCATTAGATCAGCAACGGTTAACAACATCCAAGACGACTCTTATTAGGTTAAGAAAGTCGGTATTGTGTGCACAGAAGAACCTAATACAAGCTCCAGGCCGATGATGCCTTAAATTCGGTTACCTCTTACGCGCCCTCTTCACTCTCTCCCCTAACCCTCATCGTCTCTTATTTCTTTATCCTCCCTTTTTCCCGCACCTCATTTGTATAAAAAGAGGAATTGCAATCTACTTCTTTTATCAATCACATGCTTTACTTTTACCCCATACCAATATTAATGTACAGATCGGATGAGAATTTAACAAAAGGCACATGTGCAGTAGGTGTGTTAAATCGAGAAATCTTTACTGAAATTCAGAGATGCGCTTTTGGCTCCAAAAGATTACTTAAGTAGGGTTGTAATATTAATTCTAATCCATGCTTATTGCCAGGATAATTTGTTAACTTCAGGATGTCAGCATCTGAATGAAGTTCTTCGCAAAAATGCACTCCGTAAAGAAGGAGTACTTATTTGCTATGAATATTTCTCATTGATATTCCATGTCCTTATGCATTCGAATATATTTCGTAAAACCATGCATAAATATACTCAATCTTTCACTTATTTAGTGTAAATTTACGGTTCCTGTAAATTTAAGACTTGGCGGATTTAACTCATTTGGTGGAAAATTACGGTTTTTTGAATTGGAGACATGGCGGAAGTGTATAATAAGGTTTTAAATGTTTGAAATTATGACATTTTTGAGACTGTGAGGAGGCCGTTCATGAAACATCGTGTTTCTGCATTTACAAATTTCGCTTACAAATTTTGAAATATAGTTCGAATCCACTGCTAAATTGTATGAACCCCTTATGGTCTGTTTTTAAAAGCGTTGAGAAATTTACGGTTTTCCATATAGAGAAAATATACGGCCTTGAAAGCATCTGCAACGGGAAGTCGGGTTCAATATTACTCAAAAACTGAAAATGTAAAATTTGAAGAGGTCGCACTTCTTTACCAAATATTTAGAAGGATGAATATTTTTATGCGTTTTCTCGATGGAATATTTCTGAATTTATTAGGCAGACCTCAGTAGTGGAGCAGCTGCGCCAGGTATGTGAACGCATGTTTTTTCCGGTCCCAACCGATAGTCATTATTATGATTGGCTGGATGAAAGCAAACAAGCCCGAAACAGTGCTGATCAATCTACCTCACAGACTCCGTCGTTGCTTTCTGCTACCATAGCTTGGCCGAATTTGGCCTGGTAGATGGTTGCCCGTTCGCGACCCCTATCACCGACAGGACGTTTGTATATGTATTTGAATATAAACGAGCTCATTAGGATGAATAGAGGACTTTATTGGTCAAATTTTGGACGCTGGTTACCAGGTCGTCGTCAGACCTGAGTGACAGCACAATAGCAACTAACATTTCGATCGTACTGAAAAATCAATATTTATTTGGTGTTTGCGCCAGTAAGCGGCCGCCGTGTACGTCATTCTGTAATGATTGCCTCGCGTCGTCCGAGTTCGCGCCTACAGATAAGTTCGAAGGTTTTTTGAAGCCATGCACTCCGATGAATCACGCATGTACAGAAATATCAGGGAAAGGTAGGAAAGACGAGAGTCAATCAGTACAGAATAACGCACACAGTGACCTCTTGCAGGCGCAAACACTAGATGAATGTTGTTTTTTAGCGTGTTTGAAATGTTAAACAAAACAATCCTTGGTGATTTGGATCCAACCAAGGGGCTCCGAAAGGCTCACCGATCGCTGCGGATTGGCTATTTCTCTTACCATCGCGTAGACCGGCTCCACTTGAAGGTTTCAAGCGCTGAATTTCTCTTAAAACAGTTTCAGTGTGAGACGCAACAGCGTTACCGAAGTCAGCTGGCCTCTTTCGTAATCGGTGTCCTTGTTGCTCATCAGCCAATCGGCAGCTTGTCAGACGGTCAAAAATCCCGGGTCGCCTTTGCTGCAATCAGCATGCTACAGCCCATCCTTCTGGTGCTGGATGGGCCTACGCATCAGCTCAATAGAGAAACTGTCGGTGCCCTGGGTGGGGAGATAATATGATTTTAACGACGAGCATCTCATATCCTCTGTCTGCAACGAGATCTGGGTTTGCTCACCGTGCCACTTTGGATCCGCAAAGGCGCAGGCTTTGGCCAACCATAGAATCCCTTGTTCGACATGGTTAAATAGTTAACTGCTTTTGTACATAACCCAAAAGTCTGAAGGCTCGAGAATTTACGCATTAAAGATTATTATCTTCTCAAAGAATCTTACTTATTTTCAGTTAAACTTCTTAGGATGCCCATTTTCCATCATATATACATATATTTGTATTTTCATCGTGAACCGCAAATCGTACACAAACATCATTTAAATAAGTTGGAAAAGAACAGCTTCATATGACCTTATCCTTTGGGTTAAGATGCGGGATTCAGTACTGGATTTTAAGGGCTTTCACGAAAAAATCCAGTCCTCCCACTAAGGGTACTGCACTGGGAGTAAAGCCAAACATGTGCACGAACATATTGGACAGAGGGAGAATCTTGACTCCCAGCTTCATCAACATCACGCCCACATAGACATCCTCATTGGGCAGGGGGCGCGTGAAGGCTGCGGCAATGGAGAGTTTGGGAATGAGATCGGCGCCGATGATGTAACAGGGACCAATCGGATAATCCGGATAATGTGGGTACGGATAGTCTGCAGTCCCCGTGAACCATTTTGACCCAGTGTTTCGAACCACCGCTCTCCTAGAGTTAATTGAGCCGAAGATGCTTCCACGGACTTCGGGCAGTGAGAACTTTGAGAAAACTTGGCGCAGTTGTGTCACATTGATTCCATGGTCGTCGTCGAGGAAGACGAACGAGGGACTGATGTGTAGACAGTGGTGATGACCATAGCGCAGATTGGTGATCGTTTTAAGGGTCAGATTTAGGTAATTGTCGGCATAACTTGCCAACAGAATGTCATCGAATTGCGAAATCTCACTAAGCAGTCCGGGGGGCATTTGGCCACTCACGGGAAGCCCTCGACTGAAGAGGAGGCCCACAGTGGCATTGCTTGTCTCAGCCTGTCGCCGAATGACCTCGCGCAACTGTCCGCGTCGCGCAGAGTTAGCGAGCGCGCTCTTTACAATGATCATCGTCGTGTATGAATTGGCTCTCCCCGCCGCACAGACGGACATGCTGGCACGAACTACCGAGAGGCTGGGGTTGTTGATGGGTTTCTGCATGTACAAAGTGAAGTTGCCTTTCAGTCAAACATTTAAATTTTTGAATTCAACTACAGCTTATAAATACTGCTGAAGTCAACAGTTTGAAAAGTTGTATAGCAAGGCGCAGGCTTAAATTTTGACACCATACCAAAGACTGACATTGTCTAGCATGCAGTCAATACAGTTCCCGCACACTTGGTAGGAGGAGGGGGCGAGTGACTGGATGGTATTTTGCTGACCAGTCGTTCTGTAGAGGAACTACTGAACAGTTAGAAAATGTACATGGAATGCAAACCCGGGTTTCAAAAAGTAGTTGAGAAGGAGAAAAATAAAAATAGGCGAGAAAGAAGGGACAAAAAAGATGCAATTGCCAAAAAAGAATAAAAATCGCATGGCGTTTCGAGTCCTTACTCGAGCGCATTACCCGAAACAGTGCAGATATGGTTGATAAATGCGTGGGTTCGTGAATTACTAATCGATTTGCCAATAGAAGCGAAGAGACGAGTCCCAGGATGTAGCCTTGATGAGGGAGACACGATCGCTGGGACAAGAGCTTTATTAGCTTGACGTTTCGGATTCCTACTCGAATCTATCATCAGAGACAAAAAAGCAGAAGCGGGTGGTTTTTGCACAAGGGGCTGCGGTATTTATAGGATGCAGTAGCCATGCTACCGCATACCTATGAACATTCATGGCTCCACCTTCATCCGGGATCGTCGCAGTTGGTGAACTATCTGGCTTACACCCATTGCACAGTTTTACAATGAATGTCCAGTAGATGTCTAATTCATGAAATTTCAAACAAAATTTCGAAATGCGTTCTCGTTTCGAAAAGATAAATTAAGTAAAATGTAGAATTAATCATGATGCAGCATGAGTCTTTAATGCCATTTAACGGTATTAAAATATCTCACAAAAACTTTTGTAAAACCGAATTATATTCTTTTTTTGAGTATGAAATTTGAAGAAGACGTAATTGTCTACCGAATAAGTAAAAAATGATTTTTTTATGGATGCTTTCCATGAAATATAACTAAATTTTTAAGGAAATAAAAAATCCATGAGAAAATGGCATACTACATAAGTAGTCATTTTTTGCAGAGTATACATCTTGCATGCAGCCGAAACTCACTTCTTTCGAAAGCTAACACACTTAGGTAACTGGATCATTATAGATTTATGCTGCATCATGATTAGATTTACAAAACTACTTAATTTATCTTTTCAAAACGAAAACGCATTTCGAAATTTTGGTTGACATTTAATGAGTTAGCACATCTACTGTATGACATCTTCCTGACATCATAGGGAAGGTGATAT